GACTCGCTGGGGACCAAAAAGATCTGGACGTCCCCGTACCACCCGCAGACTGATGGGATGGTCGAGCGGCTGCATAGGACGCTGACATCCATGCTTTGTCACCAAGTAAACACCTCTCAAGATTATTGGGACCTGCATGTTGCAGCGACGCTGGCCGCGTATAGATTGGCCCCACATGCCTCAACGGGGTACTCACCATTTTTTCTAATGTATGGACGGGAACCAGAAGCGCCGGCTATTGTTGAATTGGAAATTCGAAAGCGAGAGAAATCTACGACGGTGCAGGTGGCTTTAGACCGTCTGAGGGAAGCCCGGGAGGCTGCATTGAAAAATACGGCACGACGACAAGCCGCTAACGAAGATTGTACAGCGGGCAGCGGCCACGAGAGCCGTGGAGTGTTGGAGATAAAGCCTGGTTGCACTGCCCCATGGTGCCGGTGGGAACGTCCCCAAAGTTTCACCGACCCTGGCAGGGGCCCGTTGATATTGTGGAGGTTTTACGGGATCAGAGTGTGCGAATAAAATTCAGTCGTCGGACATGGTTTGTTCACCCGTCGCGCCTGAAGAAATTTGTGTTACCATATGACGCGTCATCCCCCATCAGAGAGCGGCCTGTATTGGATGTGTCCGACGAACCTGTGGGGAGGTCACAAGTGCGCGTGTCCCAGAGATCTGCCCCCCGTGTGCCTGCAGGATCGCCCCTTTTGGGCAGTTTCTGACCGGACGCCGACTGAACGGCCACAGATCCGGACCAATGTCCGTCCTGACCGAGAACGACGGACAGTCCCGCCAGCAGAGTGTCACTGGGACAGGGATGGGCGCAGGGTGGAGCCCAGGAGCGCCCCTCGTTGGCGAGACGAGCAAGGCCCTCCCTTACCGCAGGGTGTCCCGTGCAGGGGAGATGGGCCGGCAGCGAGAACCCGTTCCAGGAGAAGTACACTACGTTGACTTTCGGGAGTTTGGGGATTCTGTATAAAGGTGTTGTGTGAGTGTCGTTGTGTGGTGCGTGTCGGGTGGTTGTACAAAATAGTTATGTGTTGCGAGTGCGTTCTGTATATATGTTTTCATCGTTGCGTCCGCTTCACTCCACTACTCCAATTCGAGTATAGAGTAGCCGGGGACGGCTAGGTTCTCTCATCATGGGAGGGGGGGGGGGGGGGTTGTAGTGGAGTAGAGTCTGGGCCATTGGACAGGTGCGGAGCTGGCGGGAAAATGCCAGCGAGGCACGTGGCAATTTATTAAGGCTGATTGGAAAGGGGATAAAGACGCTAGGTGATTTGGACGACGGGGGAGTTGGCGAGAAGTGGAGACAGCAGCGGGTAGAGAGAGATGCGAAGAGTGGAAGCCCGGCAAGTGTTAGTGGGAAATAGATTGAGAACCGAACCCAGAGGACAATAAATAGTGATAGCGAGAGTTAGCGGAGTGGAGATTACGGTATAGGTAGGTACAGGGAGAGTTATCGATAGACAAGTCACTGTGTGTGAGGAGATAGACAGGTCACTGTGTGTGAAGAGATAGACAGAGTCACTGCGTGTGAAGAGATAGACAGGTCACTGTGTGTGAAGAGATAGACAGAGCCACTGTGTGTGAACAGATAGACGAGTCACTGTGTGTGAGGAGATAGAGATAGAACCACTATGTGTGCGGTGAGAGAAGAAGAGACTGTGTGCGGAGGCAAGGAGTATGAGCGGACGGTGCTGAGGGGAATTCGAGTGTACGAGTTGGCGGAGCGCGGAGAGGAGAAATTATATATAGTGTGTGTGTGTGGAATGATATATATAGTGTGTGTGTAATTATATATAGTGTGTGTGTGTGTGGGGAACGATGGAAATAAAAGTGACGGTGGAAGAAAGGCGATTGTCGTCCGAGTGAATCCAAGGCACTACACAAATACTGTGTGTAGTCAATGCAGACATTATTCCTTGCAAAAAATTTTGATTGGTGTTTGAACATCTTAACACAACTGTTTTATTGCCAGAAAGGGTAAAACCTATTATTATTATTATTTTCTCACACTTTGATACCGGCAAAAAAGGCGCGCTGATGTTGATTTGATACAACCGGACTACCCCTGGGGCGCCTGCCCCCCGCCCACATGAGCGGTAATGGTGCCGGATTCAGCAAAGGGCCTCGCCCGGTGGTTTGTGACTCCACCAGCTGGACCCTGAGTCACAGCCACGTGACCGAGTTAAACACGGCAACTCCCACCGGTGTCTCACAGCTCGACAACTGGAACGTGACTTTGAGACAGGAACACATTATTTTCACGAAGTAGTTTAAAGTGTTAAACTTAAAATAAATGGAGAAGCTGAAAGAAATATGAAAGACGAAGATAACAACAATCTCATGGAGTAGAGAGGCAGAAAGCAACGAGTTTACGAGCAGCGTTCCTGTGGTGCCACGACCACGGAGCAACTCCGCAAACGCCGCAATCCCCTCCCGGCCGCCAAACTAAACAATTAGCCACACGCAGCGCACCCACGTAGTGTCCTGATGGGGGGTTGCCTGGCACATCGGGTTTCAATCCGAATGGGCCCCTAGAGGGAGAGTCTCACAGTTTCCCGGTGCCAGGAGATTGGCCGACCCTCACAGGGCAGGTTACATTGCGGTGCCCCTAAATTGGCTTAAGATTTGTATGGGCGCTGAACGAAAAGGTTCACTGGGCCATCCGCAATGAGTTACTCACGACACTGGGAGAGGCGGAGGGTGGAATATTCGGCCAGAAGAGCAGACCAGTGGGTTAGAATTAATGAGCACGGGAGGACGATGGATGAGGGGCTGCAGCAGCAGCAGACCCCGTGGCCCTCCATGTAGACGGCACAGGTGAGCGTGCGATTGGCTGCACGGTACAATGCCACCCTGGGCCTTTGAAGCGAGGGGATTGGGCCACGGTAGAGACGGTGGAGAGGGACGACGACAGGAAGCATGGGTAAGCGCCCGATTGGCTGCGTGGTATGACATAACCCTGGGCCTTTGAAGTTTAGAGAATAAAGACAGGTGCCCTGGGACGGTGAGTTCAGTTGTATTCAACCTCCGGGCGATCCAGACCCACTCCCTGCCATCCTGCCTCCTCGAGCCGCTCGCAGCATTCGTGTGATGCCAGCGAGTGCTGCTACGAGGCAGTGATAGGCGAGGTTTTCGCTCGTCCTTCTCCCTCTGACTCTCACTGTGTCCATGCGACGCCGTGAGTACAGCTACAAGGTACATGGTAGAACATTTGTGTAACTGGGCTCATAGACAGAGCTACGCTAGGCTCTCCTCGCAAAATATTCCTCCTCCGGGTCATGCGTATTGGCACCATTAATAAACTATAGTTCAGAATATCGGTGTGGTGTGATTTCTGTGTGTGTTGGCAGAGCCTCGGCGTAGCGTCTGTGATCTGTGTGGCGCGTCTGCGTGTAGAGACGGTGTGCCCGGCGTGAGAGCGAGCGCGGGGCTGCGGAGTGGCGGCGCGGGGTTGGTGTGTGAGGTGCGCATCTTATACCATCTATACTACCACCACAGGTTACGCGGGGTTTCGCATGTGTGTAAGACGCGTGTCTGCAGCGCCGCGTGAGTGATTAAGGCGGGGTCGATCCACCCGCTCGCTGGCGTTCGCACGCCTTTACAAGGCACGTGGACATTGTAAAAATGGCCTCAAAGGCGAGGCGTGCACCCAGGGTCCTGCCGCAGCCATCCCCTTTTTCGCGTAGCATTGTTACACAGCGGATGAGGGCTTAGGCACGGGGAGGGGCGCGTGCATATTAATGAGGCTATTTTTAGCGCTAGACTTTGTGTGCAACAAGCGCCGGCAGGGGCGCGCGCGTGCACGCAGCCACCTCCGCATCAGTGGTGGTGGTGTACGTGGGCGTGTGCGAGATAACCCCGGGCGGTGGTGAGGCAGCCGAGTAGCAATGTCCCTCAGAGAGGGCGCTGGCGCGGGGGGGGCCGATCACGTGATCGGCGGGGGCACAGTGAAGTGGAGGAGGGGTAAGTGGAGGGGGTGGACGTCACGCCCCGCCCGCTCACGGGGAGCGGGGAGGTGGACGTCAGCCCCCACATCCCCCTGCCAGTTCAGTTGAGACGAGTTGAGGTGAGGTGAGTTGATGAGGTGAGTTGAGATGAGGTGAGTTGAAGTGAATTTAGGTGAGTTGACGTGAGTTGAGTTGATGAGGTGAGTTGAGATGAGGTGAGCTGAGTTGAGTTGAGGTGATGTGAGATGAGGTGAGGGCCCGTCAATAAATGACGTCATGCACCTAGGAGGGGGGGGGGGTCAGACATTTATGACGATGTGTGACGAGGGGGGGGGGTTGAGAGATGTGACGTCACGTTAAAATGCGCAACTTTAAATAAATATAGAATTGTTAAAACAACACTAATTTTAATAAATTTCCATTATTAACCATTTGATTATTTAAATTTACTAAGGTCACTTTAGTTTATTCCATGAAGGAGCATTTTGCTTCTCCATGGGAGAATGGAGAAGCATACATTTTGAAAAAAATGTTAATGATTGTTATTAAACATTTTGATTCTAATTATTCTACCAGGGTTTTTCATTCTGTGAAATGAATCTGTGATTGTTATAATTGTACTCTCCATTTTACTTTGTTTTACTACGAAGTTTCAAGTATTTTTTTAATCGTTATAATTACTTTTATATTTTATAATTATAAGATAATTTCAATATAATATATGCTAAATTTCAGTTTTCCAACGCCTCCTTTTAAATGTTTTCTCCTGCAACATCAGAGTGCAACGCCACATTAAATACGCACTACAATGACAATAGTTTAAAGCGATTTGAAGCATGTTTTATTTTCAAAATGGAAATATGGTTTTGGGGGGTGGGGGGCAGAGCTTTGTGACGTCATATTTGAAGGGGGGGGCCTGACTTTTTGTGACGCCGTACGATGAGGGGGGGGGGGTAAAAAATCGTCCAAAATCGCGTGACGTCATTTATGGACGGCCTCTGAAGTGAGTTGCGATGAGGTGAGTGAGGATGAGTATTTGAAACGAGGTGATCGGAGTCTTCTTTTTTAAGCCACCCCTGGAGTGGAGACGTCTGTACTCGCTGACACGTCAACACATTCCAGGGCACGCCTCGTGACACGCAAATCAAACTGAAAGACATCCTGCTTCCTTGTCACCTATTTACGTGGCTTGTTCCTTGTTTAGCGTCTCAGACGCAGTCAGCGATTGCCTGAGAAACAGACAGAGACTGCCTGAGCTACAGCCAGGGACTGCCTGAGCTACATCCGGATACTGCCTGAGCTAGTCAGCAACTGTCTGAAGTTACAGCCAGAGGCTGCCTGAGCTCCAGCCCGCGACTTTCTGAGCTACAGCCAGCGACTGCCTGAGCTACAGAGACTGCCTGAGCTACAGACAGAGACTACCTGAGCTACAGAGACTGCCGGAGCTACAGACAGAGACTGCCTGAGCTACAGACAGAGAATGCCTGAGCTACAGCCAGCGACTGCCTGAGCTACAGACAGAGACTGCCTGAGAAACAGACAGAGACTGCCTGAGCTACAGCCAGGGACTGCCTGAGCTACATCCGGATACTGCCTGAGCTAGTCAGCAACTGTCTGAAGTTACAGCCAGAGGCTGCCTGAGCTCCAGCCCGCGACTTTCTGAGCTACAGCCAGCGACTGCCTGAGCTACAGAGACTGCCTGAGCTACAGACAGAGACTACCTGAGATACAGAGACTGCCGGAGCTACAGACAGAGACTGCCTGAGCTACAGACAGAGAATGCCTGAGCTACAGCCAGCGACTGCCTGAGCTACAGACAGAGACTGCCTGAGCTACAGACAGAGACTGCCTGAACTACAGATAGAGACTGCCTGAGGTACAGCCAGAGACTGTCTGAGCTACAGCCAGAGGCTGCCTGAGCTACATACAGAGACTGTCTGAGCTACAGAGACTGCCTGAGCTACATCCAGCGCCCGTCTCTGAGTGGAGGCACAGGGCCATGGCGAGTGCGGCTCTCAGTGGTGACGAGGCTCGAAGGGAGTTGACCTGCCCCATCTGCCTGGACGCCTTCCGCTGCCCCTGTACGCTCAGCTGCGGCCACTCGTTCTGCCTCGAGTGCGTGGAGGGCGCCTGGGATGCGGCTGAGTCCTTCTCCTGCCCACAGTGCCGAGTGACCTTCCCTCAGAGGCCCCAGCTGAACAAGAGCGTGACGCTCGCCAACCTGGTGGAGCAGCGCAGTGCTGCAGATGAAATGGCCACCGTGGTCTTGTGTGACTTCTGCAACGATGGCACGACCGCTGCCTCGAAGACCTGCCTCAGGTGTGATATGTCCTACTGTGTGACTCATGTAAAGCCTCATCAGGAGAACCCGAAGTTCAGGGGCCACATTCTGGTGGATCCAGACACGAATCCTGAAGACCGCAAATGCAAGAAACACAGAAAGGAGCTCGAGTTTTACTGCCGACAGGACAAGAGCTTGGTCTGCACAACCTGCACCATTGCAGGAGACCACAAGGGTCACGATGTGGCTACGTTGGAGGATGAGCACAAGACACGGGAGGTGAGACGGTCTGCCTGTGTGTGAGAGGGAGCCTGTCGTGCACGAAATCATCATTTCCAAGTATGAACTGAACAATGATATCCAACTAAATATCATTCCTCTCTCAGCTGCCGATTTTTCGTTCACATTTTAACAACGTTGTTTTAATATAAAGCATGCTGAGGTTGTCATAGTGCAAACATAATACAACCACAAGTTTTTTTCAATCCTGTTGTATGCCAAATTTATAAATGTGCCCTTAGTATATTTGATAAAACCGAAGAACTTTAATGCATACAACGTGTTCTTAAAATTACGTGAATGCATCGACTGTGGTTCGCATACAAAAAGTGGGTTGTGGTAGAGAGGAGCATCCCCTAAAATTGAAACGAAATGTAAAACGACTGGGACTGCGTGAGCCGCAGTGCTCACCACTTGGTAGCCTCGTGCCGGTCTGTGCCAGTTTAGCACCGTACTCTACAGCAGCTGCCGGGTCACTGGACTTGGAATTCCAGAAAAGTCGCGTGATTTTGACAGACCAAGTATTTCGTGATCGTTTTTATATTTTCATCAAGATGCTCGTTACCGAATTTCTCCGACACTCAACAGAGACATGGCAGCCCCTCCTTGTGCCATGCAAAACTAAACTTAACCAATTTTTATTTTACCAAGTGAAACTTACAGAGCTATGTAGCTGGCAACCTGGCCACAAATTACAGCTCAACAAAGTGGCTTATCAGGTCTAAATGTATGGCAGCCAAATACTCTAAACGCACCTTCCTAAACGTGGGCAGAAAAACCGGAGGACCCAGAGAAAAATCCATGCGACCATGGAGAGAGACATGCAAACTGCATAAACAGGCATCAGGTGCAGTTTCGAACCCACGACCTCCTGAATAGCAGGCAAGGCAGAAAACATCTCACCACTCTGGTGCCCTGTCCACCCACTACTCAGATAGCCCCGCCCACTACTCAGGTAGCCCCACCCACTACTCCAGCAGCCCCACCCACTACTCAGGTAGCCCCACCCACCACTTTGGCAGCCCTGCGCACGTTTGAGCTCCTCGTGAAATCAGTTCCCTGCAGCCTTTGCTCCCTCAGCCTCCATCGCTGCACCGGGGCTACTTCCCCTGTCACTGTGAAGTGGTTCACGTGGAGCGGGGTTGGGAGGGGATGCTCAGAGAGTGAGTGGAGTCTCCCCTGGTGACTTCTCTCACAGAAACAAGTGGGAGAGGAGACGCGGGCGGTGGAGGAGAAGAGGAGGGAGGCGGAGGAGTCCATAAGGCGGATGGAGGCCGCTCGCAGGGACGTGCAGGTACCGCGTCTGGGCCGGAATCGGTGACCCCATGACTCCACTCTGAGTAGGGTTTGTGATGGAGGATAACTCCATTCATTCACGTGGACTTGGCTCCAAAACACATCGTGGGACTAAAGACACAGCGGTTAATTCGCCTCAATAATCAGGACGTGCAAAAATGTGGTTCTCATCTCCACTGAGAAACTGAATCAGTGGTGGAAATTCCACATTCCCATATCTCCATACAACTTACCACTTAAACGCCTGTTATCTATATTGATCAGATGAGGTGCTAAGTACCTATTATCCAATACTCTGGTGGCAGAGTAAGTGGATCACGCATATACTGTTGTACACCATCTTACTGAAACCAATCAGGCTTTAGGGTGGCCAGGTGGCAGTATAGCAAGTAGTTTCATGATCCCTTCTCTTCATCCATACATGTGGTTTTCTCTCACATTCAAAACATTGATTTCAAGAGGAATTGGCCTAACTTCCATTTCATGAATGCCCTTTACAGATTTCACTTCGCTTCATGTAAAGGTAAACAAAGCATCGTCCTGATATGCTCAATGAGAATGGCACAGATGCTAAATGTACTCATGATGGTATTTTATTTCATTGCCTCACAGCCCCCACCCACTATGGCGAATTGTGTGGTAGTGAAAATGCACAGTGGCGTTATCAGAGGCAAAGGAAGAAGGAGGCCTCACTACCTCAGACTCGTATCACTGTCTGGACACCTTCAGAGTTGCACTCGGGTCACACCGACCTGAATGTCATTTCACAATGGACCAGACATTTAAAGAACAAAGGTGGCATTTCTCTCTCTTTGCAGGGATCCATGACAGATGAAAAGGCCTCAATCTCGGTCAGATTCGCCAGTGCGAGGGCAGCGTTGGATGCAGAGGAGAAGACGGCTTTAGAGCAAGCGGAGCAGAAAGGACGCAAGCTCCTGTCCCAGATCGAGAAGAAGATCGCTCACGACCAGCACGAGATCAGCGAGCTCCAGGCAGCAGCCACTCGCCTGCAGGCCCTAGCGCAGGAGAGGGACTCGCTCACGTTCCTGCAGGTGAGCGATGAGTCTCCAGTGTCGCTATTGGCACAGAGCCCTCTCACCAGCAGCAGCAGAGGGAGGCTCCTGAATGAGAGCTCGCATCCACTGGGCTTGAGAACACAGCTCCACTCATGGACTCGCATCGCAGCTCCAGTGGCTGCCATTTGGAAGCCCAGCTCATATTTTCTCAGTTAAATTAATTCTCTCTCCCGTCCTTTACCACATTCCCATTAAGTTTGTTTCATTGTGAATATAAATAAATGTTATTGGAATTGCACCTTTTAAATCAACCATACAACAACAATGTACACGGTATTCATGATTGCCATCAGCGATAATCTATCCAGTCATTGATGAAGGCCTCCCCAACCCATTGCCACATCTCGTGATGCCGCGATGCAACAATCCACCAGCGCCTGCTCACAAGCTGATTTCATCTCTGCTTCTTACTTTGTGTACCTCCACTTGGATGCGCGACCTCCATTGTTCATATTAGGAATGCTCAAATAAATACGGTCTCATACACTTATTAATGATATCATTGTGTCTTGAACATCACTTCTACAAGATCTGCACCATGTGCATTGGTAACTCCAGAAACTACTAGTCCTACGTTCCTCTCAACACAGATCAACATCAACCGGTCTCACTCTGAAATATTTGCCCTGCAAATTCATGTTGGTCCTCATGGGGGTGGCGAGATGTTAACTACCTCGCCTGGTATACTGAAAGTCTGGGATTTAATCCCAACCCTGACATCCATATACATTTGGAGTTTACATTTTTCCCTCCATGGTGGTATGGATTTTTCTCCGGGTCCTCCAGTTTTTCCCTCCACATTTGGAAACCTGCGTTTAGAGTATTGGGCTGCTATAAATTTCCACGAGATGAACCACTTCGTTGAGCTATCATTTGTGGCCAGGTCCCTTCTGAAAAAGAGCTACATAGCTGCGTGGGCCTTACCTGAAAAATAAAATAGTATTTTATCGTTTACTATCAATCGGTCTTACTCTGAAATATTTGCCCCGTAAGTCAGTGTTGGTGATCATAGGGTCATAAGCCAAGACTTTGGGGTTTATATTCCACCCACGGTGTTGCAGTGGGAACTCCACTGATCATAAGGGATTGGAGGTAGAGTCACAGTACTGTATCTCTCTGTCTTCCATAGGGGCACCTGGAGGAGATGTGCAGGTAAAAGACGACTTTCATTCATTACCCGACACACGACAACATGGAACTGAGTGTGGGGTGTGGGCAGTGAGATACTGGCTGTGTGTGGGGATGCTGTGTGTGATGATGGTTTGTGTGGTTATAGTGTGTGTGGTGATGCTGTGTGTAATGATGGTGTGTGTTGATGATGTGTGTGATGATGCTGTGTGCGTTTATTGTGTGTGGTGATGCTGTGTTTTGATACCGCATGTGGTGATGCTGTGTGTGGTAATAGTAATTCTGTGTAGTGATGCTGTAATTGTGAGATGAGTGATGATGCTTTGGGTGATGTGTGTCTACGTGATGGAGCTGTGATGATCCTGTGAGTGACGATGCTCTGCGTGAGACAGTCGCCATGTCTGTTCTGCTTTCACAGGACAGGGAGGTTTACAGCAGATCCACCCTCATGTCCTAGCCAAGAGGACATTGCCTCGCTTAAAGGCACCGAGGGAACTGTGGCCAAATTCCTGTGTGAGTTCTTCAGTGTGAAATATGGGTGATGGGGCCATCTTCACAATAAATGATCACCGTGTGTGTGTGCACGAGGTCGACTCAGCTTCAAATGCTTACCTAGTTTTGTGTGTAAACATCACCACGAGGGAGACAAAGGTGGCCAGGCGTAGTGCGGACCACCAAGCCCCTCATGTGCTGTTCCAGCTTTCAAAGGTGCTGATTTACCTCGACAGTCTGTTAAGGCAACACGGGGAATATTTTTCTTTGTTTACATTCTGGAGCCTGATCCTGTATTTAAACAAAATCGCCACTAGGGAGAAAAAGGTGGTCGGGCGTGGTGCTGGCCACCCACCTCCTCGTGTGCCATGCTGGTCATCATAGATGCTCGCTAACAGCACTTGCCCCAATGGTCTGTTTAGGCTACGCAGGGGATCTTAGTCTTTGTTCACATCCCAATCCAGGACCTGACTGAACAGAGCCATGAGGCTAAGTATGACGATCTTGTGCAAATAATCAGCTTTACGAGTCGGGGGTAATTGTGATGTTGAGATGCAATTTGTTCCTCTGAATGTGTCTGTGCATTTGTGCATGGGGGGAGTGGTGGCATAGTGGTTAGCACACTGCACTGCGAACCCAGTTACCTAGCTTTGATTACCCGCCATGGCTAACATCAGTGGCAGGTGATATCTTATCCAGTCCTTGGCCTCTACGAGGCAGTTTCAACCTCAAATGAGTTCCTGATGCTGGTAATGGTCATAATGATGGTGATAGTGGTCGCGATGAGCATGGTGGTAATGATAGTGCATCGGCCAGTCATCTCAGTCGACCCATAGCACCTTGGTTTGCCCCATGACCTCCTGCCAGCGGGCGTTCGACACTTAACGTGGCCTCAACGTGCACATAGCCTGGCACAAGCGCCGTGGTGACGTCACCACCACTTAATGGCGAATGGCACTGTATTGATGGCGATAGTGATGTTGTTGATTTTCACAGTGTTTATGATGGTGGTGATGTATATGTAGTTGTAATTGATGATATTCATGGTGAGGATGGTTGTTGATGGTGATGTTTGTGATGTTATTGTTGATGGTGAAGATGATGGTTGGTGGTGGTAATGTTGATTGTGGTGATAGTGGATAATGGTGATGATGTTGTTCTGTAGTGATGTTGTCATCGTTGTTGTCACAGACGGACGCTCACCAACTCTGGACACAACCTCTGCTCATAACCAACTCCAGATCTCCTCGGATCTCAGGACGATGACAGCAGTCCCTGCCTCCCAGGGTCGCCCCGATCACCCACACCGGTTTGATGGCTGTGCACAAGCCCTGTGCTGTGAGAGCTTCTCGTCGGGCCACCACTACTGGGAGGTGGACGTGGGGGACGCGTGGTGGTGTCGGGTTGGAGTCGCGTACGGGACGATCCCACGGAAAGGGAGTGGTGCTGCACAGTTGCTGGGAGGGAGCGACGCGTCCTGGTGTTTAGAGAAATGTTACGACAACTTCTCAGTGTTTCATGGTGGAGTGAAGACTGCACTGTCGGTGAGGGGGGCCCCCTCCCCCCGCAGAATCGGGCTTCACCTGCACTGGGAGGGGGGGCTCCTGGCGTTTTACCACGCCGACTCCATGGAGGTGATCCACGAGGTCCGGCAGAGATTCTCGCAGCCTCTCTACCCTGGGATGTGGGTGGGGTATTGTAATAAACCATTGAAGATCGTGGATCTGAGTCGTGCATCCTGAGGATGAGGAGAGATAGAAACCTAAGAAACTGCGACAGAACCCAAGAAACAGAGAAGAGGGTGAAGTGAGGGTGAGGGGAAAGTGCAACAGAGGGTGAGGTTAAGGTGATGGTGAGGGCAGAATGGAGGGGAAGGTGACAGGTGAGCATGGAGGGGTAGGGTGAGGGGGGAGGGTGAGGTTCAGGTTGGCGTGCGTGAGCGATGTCGCCGGTGCAGTACAAATTGCAGGTTCGTGTGGCCGCTCCTTCGCCTGCAGTGCGCGCTTGCGTCACCACGCCTCCTCATCCCTGTGATTCACCATCATCATCATGACCATCACCAACATCATCACCCCATCATCATCACTGTCATCATCACCCCATCATCATCACTACCATCAACACCATCACCACCATCTTCACCCCGTCACCACCCCAACTGTCATCATCACCACTGTCATCATCACCGCCAGCAACACCACCACCATCATAGTCACCATAGTCATCACTTCCACCATCATCGCCATCATCATCATTGCCAACAGCATCACCAACATAATATCACCATCATGATTACCATCACCACCACCATCACTATCAACCACCATCACTAACATCATTACATTAAACACCACCAAAACCATCATAATCACCATCACCATCATCATTATCACTATCAACACCACAATAATTATCACCATTATCACGTCCATCACCATCATCATAATCATTACTTAACATCACCACTATCATCACCATCATTATGACCATCATTACCATAACCATCATCACCACCATCAACATCATAACCACCATCATCACTATCACTGTCATCACCACCATCAAAACTACCATCAGCATCATCACCACCACCATCGAGCTCATCACCATCAATACCACGACTAATGCCACTTCTATCATCACCACCATCATCGCCACCATCATTATCATCACTATCAGCACCCACATCACCATCACCATTCTTACCACCACCATCACAATCATCACCATTATTACGATCATCAACATCAACACCACAAAAACTGCCATAATCATCAGCATTATCACATACACCATCACGACCATCATCATCACTATCATCCTCACGGATTAAAACCACCGTCACCATCATTCCCACCATCATCCCTCATCACGACCATTACCACCATCTCCCTCATCACCATCATTACCACCACCACTGTCATCATCACCACCGCCACCGTGATCATCACCATCATTACCATCATCATCAGCAGCATCATCATCACCGCCTACATCACCACCACGATGATCACCATCACCATTCTTACTATAATCATCACAACCATCACCACGATCATCATCACCATCACTATCATCATTACTACGATGATCAACACCACTACCATCATCACCATTTTACCATTATTACCACCACTACCACCATCATCATGGTAACGTCTTTGTAACGTCTTTGTAGTTGGGGCTGTTATTTTTGTTTATTGTGTTTTGACCGGGGTGAGAAATCAAGACAACAATATAGGAGTCTCATTTGTAAGAGTGGAATGTGGAGTGAGTGCTTGGGTGAGTATATGAGCAAGCAGATAAGTGACAGAGATGGTGGGTGATTGAATCATTGAGTGAGTGCATGGTTTATTGGGTGAGATGGTGGGTGAGTGAATGAGTGCATGGGTGAGTGAGATGGTGGATGAGTGAGTTTCTGAGTGGGTCAGTGGTTAAGTTAGTGAGCGAGGGGGTAGGTGAGAGGGTATAAGTAGCAATGTCAAAGTTATCCAAGATGAAGAGCTCCAGTGCCTTCCTAATAACGTAAGGAGAAGCATTCCAGACGGCCACAGAAGTAGCACCTCTAACAGCGCCACACAACACGATAACCCTATATTTTTCGATCTTGCAATGTGATTATAACCATTACTGTACGTATATGTTCATAAGTTTGCTGACTGGATTTCTGCCTGCCTGGCTTCTTGGCGGGCGGGCAAGTGGGCGTATTCGGTGGTGACGTCACGGCGCGCATCTGCGGGATCACGTCACCACCACACCCCACAGCGTTGAGGCGGGTTCCTGCATGGTGCTAACGTCATAAAACTCCATCCCAATCCACCATTCACTCCAGGGCGTGCATTCAACGCCAATGAGTGGAATGCTTCATCACGCTATCATATCATACTTAAATCACCATACTAGAAAACTACATTAGGAAAATTTATTTTGCTGGCTGGAGGGAGAGACGGAGGGACGGACATTCAGGTTCAAAGGCCGTGCGGGGTTGCTCGTGTTTGATTAGAAAATAAAAAACTTCAATAAAAAATTCGAAGGTAAAAAAAAAACACACAGCACGTGTTATTGTCTTGAGTATTTCTGTTTATACAAAGTGACTTTAACCTACAGACTATAGAAAGCAATACACGTACAGCGACTCGGACTACTTTGACGTGAGTTTGCGTGTGACCAGACCAGTACTCGCTGTATCTGATTCAATACAAATCCTCTTGTAGTGTGTGGTGCCGCCGCAGCGGAGCCGCTCCAGCGGAACCGCGCCCACCACCGCGTCGCCGTCACCGATGCCGCGGATTTCCCGCCACTCTCCCGGAGCCGGTGCCTTCTCAGACGTCCGCGTTTTGGCCACTGCACAGTCGTGAGGCCGCTGCAGCAGGGCCGGTCTGCCGAGGTCGTGCCCACCGCCGCAAAGCCGCCACCCGGGGGATGTCGACGCCGACGCGGTGCACCCTCACCACCCCCCCCCTCCCCCCCCACACGAACGTACACACGCCCCACATAGAGCCGGGAGGGGAGGTCACCCGGCTGATAGGTTTTTGTCCAGAAGTCCCTAATGGGATCGAACTTCATGGTTTCCTGCGGCCGGGAAATTGGGCGATCTTCCCCCTGTAGCTGACATGCACTGCGGCGCCGCGACCTAATATTAAAGTTGCATGGTCACGGCCAGGGCCATCGAACCACCGCGAGTGGAGCCTCACACACACACGCACGGGTCAGTGGACTGGTAGCGGGAGAACAGAGAGCGGACGTCGGTGAGATCACTGCGGCGACGTCACCCGAGCTGGGATCCGGGCATCGATAGGGCGGGAGAATCCGAGCCCCTGATTGGACGGGAGGTCAAGGGTCTGAAAGAGCAAAATTCCTTTGTTGTAGGTAGGATAAAAGGAGGGGGATTGGGGTAGCAAGGGGGTTCTTCTGGTTCAAGATCATCGCGGTCCCGGGAGCAGGAGAGTCAGCCATCCGAGACGTCCGTGAGACGTACTCCAGCATCGGCAGGCTCGTCGCCTCATTCCCTTACAGCGGTCAGTACATCGGGGAGAAGTAAGTACGAGTGAGAGAGGCGTAAGTTCAGCCGTTTTACATCCAGGATAGAGAGCGGGGCGAGCGGTAGGGGAAATCGACTCGTAGACCTCCGAGGGATAGATTAGCGTCCACTGACCATACCATCACAGGTAAATAAAATTCGCTAGTGGGGGGATCAAACTGTGTTGCGTGGTCTTTTGGGAGTGTGAAGTGGAGGGCAGTGTGCGCTGGGTGTCTACGTGTATGCGCGGCTGTGCACCTCGAGACGAAGCGTGGGGTGTTTAAGTGCCCGCACGATTGCCCACCATAGTGCTTAGCGATCGCGTACCTGGGCGGCTGTGTCGCGGTCAATCACCCGCACAAGTTTCTAATCGTGAGGTAGCTAGTTAAAGCGCCGAGCACGCGCGTATTCGCGCGACTGTTTGAGCGGGACCTTTAACTCAGAGCCAAGCGAGCGTCCCCAATCAGCGGCGCACGCACGGCAGAAACCCCGCCCGCCCGTCTGTCCCCCGGCTCCAACCCCCTCGCGTGCGATTGGTTTGTTTACGGGCAGAGACTAGGGGCGTGTTTGTTATTGTCGGCACACATGGAGTGCAAGTGGGAGGGAAACACGCGCCGCGCCTGTTTGTTTACGGGCGGTACGGAGATTTACTGGCGAGCGCGCTTACAGCCCCACCCCGCCGTTGCACAGTGTAGCGCATCGCAAGCGCAAAGCGTACGAGCCGCTAATTAAACTATGCAAACGCGGTCGACATCCCAGGCAGAGGTACAGGGGGGCGAGACGTTAGGGGTCGGTAGTCTGGACCTGACAGAGCAGCCTGGGGGTAGCGGTATGAGTGGAACGGGGGAGTCGGTGGGCAACGGCCCCGACAATTCAGTGATGGCGGGGGACGGTAGCCCCCACAAGTGCTCGTTCTGTCTATCAACAAAATGTGCCAAGTCTGCTGCACTGTGAACTTGAAAGAGTTAATGCATTAGCAGTTTGATAGATTCACTCAGACCCATAGACTCACCATACAGACACACAGAGTCACTCACACAGACTCATAGACTCACTCAGAGACACAGACTCAGTCAGAGGGACACAGACTCTGTCACACTGAGACCCATATACTCACCACACAGAGACCCATAGACTAATGACAGAGACCCATAGCCTCGCACAGAGACCCATAGACTTACAGAGACCCATAGACTCAAAGAGACCTATACACTCACACAGAGACCCATAGACTAATGACAGAGACCCATAGCCTCGCACAGAGACCCATAGACTTACAGAGACCCATAGACTCAAAGAGACCTATACACTCACACAGAGAACCATAGTCGGTTCTGCCGCCACTGCTGCTGTAGTTGTTGATGTTGTTGATGTTGTTGCTGTAGTTGTTAATGTTATTTTTGATGTCGTTCCACGGGGATCACCGTGGGTCAGGGCTGGAGACGGCTTCCCTGCACGCGTTGCTGGTGCTGTGGAGCACAGCGGAGGCATTGGAGCAGGGCCAGAGGGAGTGTTAATGGTGGTGGTGTACACGTGTCTGTGTGTGTACACGTGTCTGTGTGTATACTTGTTTGTACACGTGTATGTGTGTGTACACCTGTCTGTGTGTGTACACGTGTCTGTGTGTAGAGGTGTCTGTGTGTGTACACGTGTCTGTGTGTGTCTTTGTGTCAAGTGTGTATGTACACGTCTGCGTACACGTGTCTGTGTACACGGATCTGTGTGTGTGTCGATGTGTGTGTGTACACGGTAAAACAACCCCCTTTCTCCTTATGGTGCCGGACAGGCAACGCTGTCATGGACAGTGCTGTGGGGGGCAGGGCCAATTCAGATTGGCCTTTCCCCCCATGGCATCTGTGACCACAGCGGCTAAATGGGGTGCGAGGGGCTGGTAACCCCTCCACCTTCAATTAACTACAACTAAACTACGACTGAAAAATTTAATTAACAAGCTTGTGCCGGAGGCCCCCGGGGGGACAGGCGTCTATGACGTCTCCTGGTCAAACCCCATTTGGCGGAGCCAGGAGATTGAATATTTACCCTCGGAGCTCCTCCAGAAATATCAAAAAGCCACTACGGATGGCCACGTGGAATGTT